TTTGTAACTTTAATACTTTATAAAGTATATAATGCAGATAGGTGGTGGGGTAAGGTAATAGTTTCTTAATGGATGGTGTGCATTCAGGAGTTTGCTCTCTGCCTGGTGCTGACCTCGGTCCTGAAATACAGAGAAGGTCAGACTGAATGACTCCTGTCGTTCTATTGTTGAGCACCGTCTGTACAGTTTGCACTGCAGGCAGGAGACCTTGTTCATTCTGTCAGTCTCCAACAGGTTGTTGACGCACTCTGGCACCCAGCTGAGTCTGAGGATTTGACTTGCGCAATCAAGGCCGACTAGATAAAGAAGGATGTGTGGAGAGGGAAACCAGGCAACAAAGACAAGCCATATCCATCCTGACAGACGAACAGCAGCGCTGACATTTGAATTCACCGACTCTTGCACGAGTTAAAGGAGCTGCGGGTATGGAGTCCATCGCTCAGACAGTGGAGGCTGCAGATGCTCAGCTGCAAAGGCGAGGCTGGAGGTTTCCGGCGAAGCGCGGAGCCTCTTCGCAGTTTGTGGGCAGCACCATCATGGTTTTGTCCACTTATGCTGTCGCTACCCTGACAATGAACTTTGGGAAGAACATCCAGGAGCGACGAATAAGACCAAACGGCAACTAGCAACAATGGCCTCATCATCAAAGATCTGGATTTTCTTCTGTCTCACAATAATGGCAGAAAGAGCTGAAAACAACAGAACTTTTTTTTTTTTTTTTTTGCCTCAACTCGAATGGATCAGTTCAACTCATCTCAACTGTATGATGCAAGAATGTGGAGAGAAAATATTTAAAATCAGCTACTGTCAGTCAGGACTGATGTAGAGACAAACTTTTACCAAGAAGACAAGACTAGGTGTACTAGACATAGATGAATAATAATGAAAGGGATTTAATACTCTGTATGCAGTGCTTCCATGTGACCACTTGGTGGAGAACTGGGACTTCTTCAACAACAACAAACCACAGGCTCACTGGAGATTGGACGTCTGACACCTCAGCAAGACAGGACATTATTGAACACAACTTCAAAGTATTAGACAGGATGGAAATTAAACATATTCATTTAGACTAACAGCTGCAGTTTTTAATATTTGTTTATGTACTTGGATGTATTTTTTTAAATCTTTGTCATAAAATTGTATTTTGATTTTTAAAAATGCCTGTGTGACCTTGTGTGACAGTGGACTGGGGATGTCTCTTTTCTAAATATAATGCCATATTGCTCAAATGTCTGTCAGCAGATTGTACAAAAAAATGGCTTTCAAGAAATCCATGTTGGATCGAAACATGTCTTTGAATAAAAGGTGAAATATATTCTAGTGTTTCTCTTCTTATTTGAAAGTATTTGTTGTCATCTCACACCTGCGTCGGTTGTGCAAGCATTTAAACAAAAAGGTCATGGTAGGTTTTAGGAGATACAAAATAAAGATTAAATAGACACAACACTAGCATTTAATTTAGGCTTTAACTCATGTCATGACTTATTTTTGAGTAATACAACATAAATCTGAGTCATTGCTCCTATGTATCCAACTGCAAGCCTCCAACTCCTGGTGACATTTTAAACATTTCTTCTTAGCAAAAACCTTAATTAGCAACACCAACAATTTGGTATTTGACCAGTGACATTTCTGTCAACTGAAAGGTCACTGACTTTGACCTTTCTTTGAGAGTAGCTTCTACATTCTCAGTAGTGGCTCCTTTCACCATTAAATGTTACAACGTAATAAAAACTACAGCTGACTGAAATGCAGGGTAATTTTCCAAATGACCGGATCATTTCATGAGTGATTTAAGGGGTTTCCTATGTTTCCATGTCTAGAATAATCTCAGATATCCTCTGCTCGGGATTTTCTCATGACTTTCTTCAATGTGTTCAGTATCCAATACACTAGAGGTTCCCAGCCTTTTTTCATCTGACGTACCCCTGCAGCCCTACAGATGAGCCCTGGTACCCTGGTGTCATGTTCCAAATATGTCATTAATGGACTATAAACTGAATGTTAAATTAAAACCATTAAATATAAGTAAGTATTGTTATATGTTATTGTCAAGTTTGTATTCAAGTCTACTACCATCCATTTATCCATTACTTTAACTATTTCAACAGTTTATCCATTACTCGACTAACATCGTGGTATCAACAGTTACTTTTAAAGGACCAGTGTCGTATAAGTGTGTAGCTGTAGAAACATGGCGGTTCAACATGGTGGTAGATAAAAACAGAACTCATTCTATAAGGTAACAAAAACATAATGATTCAGGTGATTATACACTATCATTATTATTATTATTTAATTAATTTTACTTTAGATCAGCATCACAGTAATATGTAACCGAACTGAAAAATA